CTCTGAGGATAGGGCCTGGGAATACATCCTTACAAAGCTCCCTGAATGATTCTGGTCAGCAAGGCATGTGAACTTTTGCTTTAGGTTAGTGGATATTCCAAAGAAGTCCCATTAATTATGACTTCTCAGGGTGCTTTTGTTTATAGATCTTTAAGGATTTAAGAGGTGGAGAAGAAGGGGAAGCATGAGAAACTTAAAGAGATGCAAATTGAGCATCTCTTAATATGTAGGGGAAACAGATTTGTTGCCAAAAGTTAATTTGTGCACAAGAAACACACCTGATAAAATTCGATGCTGAATTATTGGAGATATACCGAATCCAGAGATATATTGAAGAATCCAGAGGAAATAAACAGAAGGAGAGGAAGCAAGTAAGCTCATAAAGGGGTCCACTGAAGATGCTTCCCAACATCATGGTTGCTCCTAAACCATCTGACTCAGATTTCTAGTGGAGGGTAGGATGAGTGTGTTAGCAGTCATCTGAGACCAGAGTTGTGAACCAGGAAGGGTTATTATGGATTGTGAAAAGTTCTTGAAATTTGCCACAGGCCATGAGGAGTGGTAAAGTCAGTTTAAAAATCTGCTGTAGTTCTAGTTAACACGTTCACATCTTCTTTATTAAAGTGGAATGCTGAGTTACCAAAGGAAGTATTCATGTTTTAGAGGAGGTGTGGTGAAGGTTGTTATAAGTTTGGAAGAGGTGGAAGAAAATGTTAGAGTGGTGTAGAGTGGTGAAGGACTTTGTAAATATCCTGTCAAATCATAGAGTAGTATTTTTAGAGAGTTGCACCCAGCTGTCCATTAGAAGAGCCAGAGGCCTTGTCTGTTTTGTTCCCTGATGTCCCCAGTACCCAGTGCAGTTATCAGCATATTCTGTGCCATCAGATATTTTTTTAGTAAGTGAATAGTATAGATACAGAAAAAAGAACAGTTATGGTAGTTTATAGCAGTTTTAATTATTAAAAGCTAATTGGGGGCCGGGCGCGGTGGCTCAAGCCTGTAATCCCAGCACTTTGGGAGGCCGAGGCGGGTGGATCACGAGGTCAAGAGATCGAGACCATCCTGGTCAACATGGTGAAACCCCGTCTCTACTAAAAATACAAAAACATTAGCTGGGCATGGTGGCGCGTGCCTGTAATCCCAGCTACTCAGGAGGCTGAGGCAGGAGAATTGCCTGAACCCAGGAGGCGGAGGTTGCGGTGAGCCGAGATCGCGCCATTGCACTCCAGCCTGGGTAACATGAGTGAAACTCCGTCTCCAAAAAAAAAAAAAAAAAAAGCTAATTGATGTTTTGCATTGGATTAAAGAGCAAGTTTTTGATCAAGTAGGGCTCTGGATAAAAAAATTAAAAAAAAAGCCAGCTTTCAGTGCTTGTTGTTTGGAATTTTTGAGATTCCTTTAAGAAATTGCTTTCTAAAGACTGTTGCGAACATTATTGTGTCTCCTAGTTTTTGAGTCTTAATGTGTTTTTTAGATGTTGGTGACTTTCTAAGAGCACATTAAATGCAGAGGTAGTACAGAATAATGAGAAGTTCTGGATTGACAGACATATATGCTGAGTCCATCTGTGTCATTAATTGCTGTTGGGAATGTCACTTAACTTCTCTGGGTGTCAGTTTCCTCATCTATACGATTAGTGTCCTGTAGTCTTTGACCTCAAGTAGTTTCTCTGGCCTCATTCTGCACATTTTTAATGATTTCTAATTATGTTATTATTCATCTCATATAGGTAGATGAATCTTTTTCATTTAAAAGAAACGTGATTCTGTGTTGGGTTCTGCTTTTAGCTTGAGGATTTTAGACATTGTACAAAAGTGCTCCAGAAATTGAATGTATGTTGCAAGCATTATGTGGAAAGAACATGCTTAGGCTGTTGTAATTTGCTTAGTGTTGAAATCAAATTGGGTTTTACATTGGGAACTTCATAATTTAGTGTGAAGCCACAAGAGTTGAGAATGGTTTGGGGGGAGTTTGTGTAATTTATATAGCTAGTTATTTCTTTCCACCCAATTCTGTAACTTTCTATGTGAATATATATGTATATATAATATATATATATATATATATATATAAATTTATCGTCAGTGAAACATTGATTTAAAACATAAGATATCAAATTTATATTGGATTGAACTAGGACTCCAAGTTACTTTAGAGACTACCAAAATTACTAACAAGTCATTGCATTTTTTTTTTTTTTTTTTTTTTTTTTTT